AGCAGCACCCTGCTGAGGGTTGATTTTGGTCACTTCTTAAAACTGATAAGAATCCCTGCATTTGGTATAGGGTCTTATCACGTTATCACAGGACTCCACGTTATGTGGAGTCCTGTAGCTCAGTGGTTAGAGCACTCGCTTTGCAAGTGAGAGACCTGAGTTCAATTCCAGGCAGAGGGCGAAACCTTGGGCAAGTTTCCTTACTCCACACAGAGCCTAATAATAATCCCTCCAAAACAAAGCAATAATAAATTGGTCATTTTCAATCTACGACTGTTTGTGGGACATTGCTGTGCGCAATTGGCTGCCGCGTTCGCCCACAAATATACAGTCAATTCACTTTACAGTCTATACTGTGAAGCGCTTTGGGACGTCCTCCCGACGTGAAAAGCGCTATATCAAATGCAAGGATTATTATTATTATTATTATCGAAACATCGCACAGGATTCTACTGTAAAGCGTAGTGACTGTATGTTTGCAGGCAAACTTGGCAGTAAAATTCCCCACAACAATGTCCATGAACCCTTCTAGAGCTGCTTAGAGGCCTCATTGACTGCTGATCACAACCCTCTCCCCACCCTCCCTCCCACACCTCCACGCCTGTGTATGAAAAATCCGATTAGTGAAACAAGTCCATCTCTGCCAGTCAGACTCTGTCTACCTTAAGTAGATTGCCTTTACGGTATAGATCGTTACCAGCCAGCTCAAAACAATGCTTCAATTACACACAGACCTTCCAGACAGCTAGTTGGGTCAAAGTCTTGGAATAATAAAGAAATTATCTTGAAAGAGTCTGCGCCTTCAAAAGGTCAACATCTTAATACAAACTTATAATCCATGCAACAAGTTAATCTTGCCAAATCGCTTTATTGTTGTGTCCTCTGGTATTGTGTATGCTTGATATGCAAATTAATAACACAGTTTGCTTATTCCACTACATGTCCCACCTCTTCAGGTCGAGAAACTCCCTTCTCTTTTCGATTTTAACCATCCACCTAAACAGGTAGACAGAACCTCGGTTCACAAACCTCATCTAAATGATGCCAACTCCAACAATGCAGCACTCCTCCAGCACTGCACTGGAACTTGATATATTCTGGCATCATTTTATTCCAGAATAACAAAATATAAACATCTCCAGCCCTTAGTTAAACAGAGGAGAAATGAGCAACAAAGGCAAATTTGAAGAATGGCAACGACAATATGTCCATATTACTAAACAACAAAGACAAGTGACCTGTTATAACTGGAAAAAGTGAAAGGGGACCCAACCAAAGTGTTCAGGTTTATTTTTAAAAAATTAAGGACCAAATATATATGTTGGTAGGCATAGGAACATGTATTTAAGCACTCTGAGACGCTACCCTCCATGGAGCGCGTTACATAAGTGCAAGCTGTTGTTGTTATATGTGTAATATGTGTAGCCAGTCCCAAAGTTAAATAATAATAATCCTTGCATTTGATATAGCGCTTTTCACGTCGGGAGGACGTCCCAAAGCGCTTCACAGAACACACTGTAAAGCGAATTGATTTTTTATTTGTGGGCAAACGCGGCAGCCAATTGCGCACAGCAATGTCCCACAAACAGTCGTAGATTGAAAATGACCAATTTATTATTGTTTTGGGTTTTTTAGAGGGATTATTATTAGGTGTGTGGAGTAAGGAAACTTGCCCAAGGTTTCGCCCTATGCCTGGGATTAAACTCAGGTCTCTCGCTGGCAAAGCGAGTGCTCTAACCACTGAGCTACAGGTCTCCACAATAAAATTATCCTAAACTGTTCTACTTCTGATGCGTTCTTTTTCAAATCGCTATTTCAAATATTTGTCCCTACTAATGGCAAGTTGCACTTACTGTGATATGGTAACTAGAACTGTAGGCAGTACTCCAGATGGGGTCAGAACATTTCTATATATAAGTTCAGTATCACTTTGAATTTCACAACTTTTAAAAATATTTTAAGAATTTTATTCACCTGTAATTTTATATTTTCATTTTAGTTTATGGATGATAAATATGCAGCTGGCACATTCATATTTCCCACTACTGGTTAGGGATCACAGCCATGCTCTGTAAAGGGAAGCCAAAAGCAGAGAATGGAATCAGCTGCACGAAGAGAGAGAGAAGGAAAAAATAAAATAATGATCTTAAAACGCTCCTATGCATCTTCTGGTTGCTTCAACTCAGAAAAACAAACTGTGTTCTTCATACTCTAATACTTGCATTTGATACAGCGCCTTATCACATCTTTGAGATGTCTCAAAGTGCTTCACAGAATATACTGTAAAGTGAATTAACTGTATATTTTGTGGCTGAAATACAGCAACCAATTGCGCACATTGTCTCACAAACAGTCGTGGAGTGAGCAACCGAATCATTTTTCTTTTGCTTAACATTTATTTGCGAATGGTTAATCTGCTGAGCAAGAGTGAAACCTCCTTACTTCCTTCCTTCTACCAATGCCTAGAATCTCAGCGTAAGATCCGCCTCAAGCAAACTTTTTTTATCTTTACTTTGTATACTCAATTGTTCCTGCCTGTTCGGGTTTTCCTTGCATTGCTGTTTTAGAAATAAAGCCAGCAGTTGCTTCAGTCTATTACTCGTGGCTTGTGTAATATCTATCATTTCAGGCAGGTCTGGAAACGTGTGAGGTACTGTGAATCCAGTAGAGAGGGATGATTCTCTTTTTGTAGAAACAAGAACCAAAGAAGGCAGTAGACAGTACTAGGGAAACAAATGATTGCAAGTTTGGCAAGAACTGCAGTGATTATCTGCCAAACAATATAAATGGAGGCTCAAACAAACACCCAATTTGGGGTTTAGAGAAACAATTTTGATGTGCAAAGTGAGAAGAATAAATCGCTCTGTCAGAAATAAATGCAGTGTTAAGGAGAAACATCTTCATATTTGAGGTTATGAATTTATGAAATAGTCTGCAACCTCGTGCAGAAAATGCAGATTAAGTTGAAGCATTCAAAAAGGAAATTAACCGATTCCTGTTCCAAAAGAGATTGAAGGGATAAAAGGTTCAAGCCTTTATCAACAAAGCACAAAGGAGCTGAAATTGCAGTTAGGAGAGGTCCTAAAGTTGGATGGCTTTACATGTATTATTTTGGTTTCTTGATGTCTGAAGAGACTTGCTCTTCTCCGCACACCCCTCCCTCTTCGTCTGCACAGTTCAAGTGCTGTAAGGTATATTTTCATTGCACATTAAGGTACTGGAGCATAACAAAAACAAGCTATTCATTGTTTTGAAATTGGGTTTGGAAAGTAGTGTGAAACTGAAGAAAATAAATAATAATTGAAAACAATAGACAGGCAAAATACCAGACTGCCATATTCTTCCAGAAGCCTTGTTTGGAGAAAACTTTTTTTTCAAAAAATAGAAAACCACAAAATAACCAAATTCAGGCATAGATTATAGCCATTGACATTTCAGAAATTCTCAGTGTTTGGTTATCAATATTATGCTCACTTTTATCTATTCCACTGGGAAGAAACTACAACTGTTTCATAAATATAGCAACTTTCTGAGTGTCCGGCAGGGGTAGGTTATTGGTTCATCTTAGTTCTCTCTCCACAGAATCCTTCCACACACCCATCTGGTTGGAAGGACCCAGAATCTCTTTAGTTTCCAGCTGACTGTCTGGTTGATTTTGAAACCCTTTCTAGTTTCTGGCTGCAGCTCCTGCGCCTGTGTTGGGTCATTTGTTCCACAAACAAAACAAGAAATTAACCCCAAAACAATCGCGTTGGATTTCGGACAACTTTATACATTGTTTGGAAATCACAGATAACTTTAACAAATCTGAAGTTAAGTCATACATTTAGATCCACAGACATTTATATTACAGAACAACGATAGATCTGCTGCAGTGGGAGATAACTAAACTTGAGATGGGAATAAACAGACTCCGATGAAGTCGGTCCCGCTGCAGAGATGACTTGTTTGATATCATTTAGAAGATGGAAGAGCGCAAACACGGCCATCCCAATGTTTTCACGAGCCATAAGGGCTGTCGACACCTAAATAAATAAACCTTTCCGTGGAACAAAAGCGAAAGATTCGGTCGCCTTTCCTTTGCAACTGCGGAGGATGTGGAATTTGATACGTTGCTACATTCATTTGCGCTCAGTAATTAAACAGAATGCTCATAATGACTCTTTTTTTGCAGCTCAGCCCAAAGGCAGGAAGGTACAGTTATCACTTTCAGGAATAAAGCAGGAAAGTTGGCCAAGTGCAACATGACAGTGAGCGGTGGTAAATCCAGATTTCATACCCAAACCTCTTTACCGTACAACATGTGGGGGGGAGGGGGGGGACCCTTTGATAAAATAATATGCCTGGCGATGATTTAAGAATCCACAACGCATCCGATACAGGCACAACGCATCGTACAGTCGGGTACGATGGCTTGTCCGGCACTGAGGGGGTGTCCGGCACTGAGGGGGGGGTGCCCGGCACTGGGGGGGGGGTGCCCGGCACTGGGGGGGGGTGCCCGGCACTGGGGGGGGGTGCCCGGCACTGGGGGGGGGTGCCCGGCACTGGGGGGGGGTGCCCGGCACTGGGGGGGGGTGCCCGGCACTGGGGGGGGGTGCCCGGCACTGGGGGGGGGTGCCCGGCACTGGGGGGGGGGTGCCCGGCACTGGGGGGGGTGCCCGGCACTGGGGGGGGGGTGCCCGGCACTGGGGGGGGGGTGCCCGGCACTGGGGGGGGGGGTGCCCGGCACTGGGGGGGGGGGGTGCCCGGCACTGGGGGGGGGGGGGGTGCCCGGCACTGGGGGGGGGGGTGCCCGGCACTGGGGGGGGGGGTGCCCGGCACTGGGGGGGGGTGCCCGGCACTGGGGGGGGTGCCCGGCACTGGGGGGGTGGTGCCCGGCACTGGGGGGGTGGTGCCCGGCACTGGGGGGGAGGGGGGTGCCCGGCACTGGGGGGGGAGGGGGGGGGGCAGGAATAGCCAATGTATGACCGAGCGCGGACACGGGCTCAGAGACCACTTACCCTCTCGGTGTGTCTCAGTAACAAAGCCCATAGGTTGGAGAATGATGGCACTGCTGCTCCTCCAACACTGTCTGTCTCTCTCGCTCTCTGACGGCTTGTTTTAGTGATGATGTAAATGGGGTTCCATGTGGAGGGTTATGTATCTGTGTGTCCCCTCTCTGATGTGACTGCTGCAGCAGACAAGCTCTCGAGCAATCCCAGTCTCCACTCCCACCCACCCCTGTCATCAGCCGCTACTGCACAGTGGCTGAGTGAGCCCCCAGCCGGCCGGGGCTGCTGGGAGATGTAGTGTCAGCCCGGCGCCCCCCACCCCAGCGCCACCGTTGGCAACGAAAGGCCAGTTCCTGGGAACTACAACTCCCGCCACGCTTTGCGCCGCACCCCTGCTCCAGACTGACGAGCTGCCTACCCCCCACAGCCCCCCTCCCCAACCCCCGCCGGGTTATTGGGCTGGTTCACGCCCAATTGGGCGGTTTCCCCAACCCCACTTGTATTGTGCGTGTGCCAGACGGTTTCAGACGGGCACGTGCTGCCTCACTCAAACAACATAATTCACACGAAATTATAATGATTTAAACCTGAAAAAAGCTTTGGTCTTTGAAGCCCTTTTTTTCTTTTAAGTTTCCAAAACACAAATCTAAATCGGCCAGAGCCGACGTGATGTCGGGCTACTTTTGGTGCGCTTGTGCTACTTTCCGGTCGATGCCGGGTCGGCCCTTTGCAAGATTTGGCGCTACATTTTCGAAAGTTTGGGCTACTTTCGGGCTATGCCAGATTTTGGGCTACATTTGTTGGGTTTGAGCTACTTTTTGGTCGACGCCGGGGGGGTTTGGGCTACTTTTTGAGGCTGTGTAAGGGGAATGTGGGGCTATTTTGGGCTATGTTGCTTGCCGGCCGCCCTAACGGTCACAGCACGCGCTCCTCGCTCGCTCGCTCGCTCTGGCGCCATCGGCACGAAGCGGCAAAACCTTACCTGCCGGCCGGGGAAAAGGCTTTGGCAATTCACCGAGGTCTCACCTATTAATGAATTACCCTCTCTGTTTGGCATTATTATTATTAATATTTTTTGGATTACTTAAGAGCCCGGGATCGCGTCGTCTAGGCGTCTCATGACGCCTCACGGGATTTTCGGTAAAAATGGGTGTAGACTGTGTGGGCTTTCTCCGCAAACGCTCGCTCGCCACATAAATACTCTGAACATTCCCGGGCCGTGCAGCCGGTCAGGGCCTGGGGTCAGGCGGCCCCGCCACCGGCCATCACGTTACCCGCTCCGGCGGCGGCGGTGAAGGCTACTGCGCACGCGCGCTTTCTCCATGGGGGTGGAAGGGGAACTACGTGTCCCAGGGTGCCGCGGGGCGCTGGCGGGGAGGGTGAGAGGTCAGTGCTGTGTGCGCGCGGGGACTGAGGCTGAGAGCCGTCTGTGATCTTGTAACGCTGGGAGTGACGGCGTGGTCACGCGAGTGGCTCTGCGCTGCGGACAGGACGAAGGCCAAAGAAACCCTTCAAAAGCACAAACATAAGCGACACAGAAAGAAGCCTTTTATTTGGGCCATTGCGCAGCTCTGATACAGCCGTCTGGTCACCCAACCACTGATCTGTGTATTAGGTAAGGCTTCCTCACACAACCCACAGCGGCCGCTCATACCCCCTCTCCCATGTGCTCTTGGTGACTGCATTAAAGTTGTACTTATTTATTCCCCCCCTCCCCCCCCTCTCCCTCCCTCCCCCCATAGCATCAAACAGTTGCAGCTCTGAGTAACAGCAGCACTATCCATACATTCAACAATCCGCGAAGGCCCATCAGGACAATGTGGACATGTTATTGTTGATTGCTGTGCCTGAGTTAGAGAGAAGGTAGACCTCCAATCCTGTCATAATAATAATAATAATAATCCTCGCATTTGATATAGCGCTTTTCACGTCGGGAGGACGTCCCAAAGCGCTTCACAGAACACACTGTAAAGTGAATTGACTGTATATTTGTGGGCGAACAAATGCCGGGGATCTGCAATGCTTACGTGGAAGTTGTGTAAAATCCTTCCAAGGGATTTTAATCAAACCACTGTTTTCATGAAAAGTTGCAGGAAAGTTTGCCCTTTTCCGGAGTACCAGAAGCATTGTCATAATATACAACTGATAATAATATTAATCCTTGCATTTGATATATTATCACGTCTTTTGAGACGTCTCGAGGCGCTTCTCGGAATATATTTCTGTTATTTTTTATAAAATAAATTTTGTAGAATTTTTCATAAGTTTTTTTATATGTGTGTAATCCACTTCCGCCCTGGGGGAACCCATATTTCATACAAGAGACTGAATGTGAGAATAATAGAAACAGGATAGTAAAATGTGAAAGTAGCAAATGTGAACTGCACGTAGGACTGGAAGTAAATGTGGAGGGACAAAAATCCTTTTGTTGGGCACAGGGAAGGTGGTAGTTGGTGATAATCTGCAGTGGTGTACATCGGAGGTCATGTTTTCAGGCACTACACCTAGAAACTCTGGAACACTCTCCCTCAATCCCTCTGCCTTGCCCCCTCCCCTTTTTCAAGTCCCGCCTGAAAACCTTCCTCTTCGAACCGTGTCTACGGCCACCTCTTCCTCCACCAGCCCCTCCCCGGCTCAGAGTCAGGCTGCGCCACTGTTATGCACTCTGAGACGCTACCCTGCATGGAGGGTGCTTTATGAGTGCAAGTTGTTGTTGGAAGCAGTCTGAACTCTGTGTGACACCATAGGCGATGAGAAAGGATATGTTCAATAGATTGAAAATAATGTTCGATAAAAAAGATTATTTTCCATCAGTTTTCATTCTTGCAGAATCCCGACCCTCGGGTCATCATATTACGGTGTACAGCTGTTTTTTTAAATGTGTTAAGGTCTTGGACTCAGCCACCATTCCTGGTAATGGCTTCCCAGCTGTTAATTCTTCCTTATAGGTATCAGAAATGGCCCTTCACATGACTGGATCTGTGGCCTTTTGCCCTGTTTGGTCTAGAACGGAGAAAGACATCTCAATGCAGTTCACAGGAATTACTGAGTGACTGTGTATTTGGAGGCAAATGCAACAGCACAATAACACACAGCAATGTCCCACAAACAGCCATGAAACAAATGGCCAATTTTTATTTAGGGATTGTTAGCCAGAACCAATTAAACTGCAGTTTATTGCTTACTCCCAAGAGTTGAAAGTGTAATAATAATCCCTGTATTTGGTACAGCTCCTTATTACATTGTTGAGATGGCTCAAAGCACTTCACAGGATATTCGGTTAATAATAATAATAATCCTTGCACCTCTCCCTGTCCACTGGTACCATTCCCACCCCTTTAAAAATGGCCATCACCACTCTAACCTTAAAAAAAACCTCCCTGGACCAGTCCTTGACTGGTTCAGATCATACCTCTCACACCGCCTCCACTTCATCTCCACAAACTGTTTATCTGCTCAGCCGGCTCTGGCTGTTCCACATCCCCCGACCCACCATTGGTGGGAGAGCCTCAGCCACTCTGCCCCGAACCTCTGGAATTCCATCCCCCAGTCACTCCGCCTCGCCCCCTCCTTAGCCTCCTTCAAGTCCTGCCTCAAGACCCTCCTCTTTGACCATGCCATCGACCACGCCCCTTCCCCTCCCCTCCCTTCTCCCCCCGACCCCAGCTCGGGTCTGAAATGCTGTCACTTTCCAGCGCCTTGGGACGTCCTCTCGACGTGAAAGGTGCTATACAAATGTAATCTTCTTGTTGTTATTTTCTAGCCCCTGCACCATCTTGTGCGTCGTTCCTCAGGGCTTTGTTCTTGGTCCCTTCCTTTTCAACATCTATATGCTCCCTCTTGGTGACATCATTCACAGACATGGGGTCAACTTCCACATGTATGCGGATGGCACTCAACTCTATCTCTCTGCCTCCCCCCTTGACTCCAGAACCCACTGCTGTCCTGACAGAATGCCTATCAGACATCAAGTTCTGGATGAGAGATAACTTTCTTCAATTGAACGTTAACAAGACTGAGGCTCCTGATTGGCTCCCGTCAGCGCCTCCTCACCTCAGGCGCTGACAGCATCACCATCCATGGGGCTCACTCCCCCTCACTGAGCCAGTCCGCAACCTTGGGGTCTTGTTTGAGCCTCAACTATCCTTTCTACCCCACATTCGCGCCATGACCCGCTCTGCCTTCCCCACCTCCGCAACATCTCCCGGCTCCACCACTGTCTCACACCGCAGGCCACCGACACCCTCATACACACCTTCATAACATCGAGGTTTGACTATGCACTCACTGCTTGTCGGCCTCCCCAACTCCTCCCTCCATAGTGTAGATGATCCAGAACTCTGCAGCCCGTGTCCTCTCCCATACCAAACTCTGTGACCCTATCAGCCCCATCCTCGCCCAACTCCACTGGCTTCCCATCACACAGAGGACACAGTTCAGGATACTGGTCCTCGCCTTCAAAGCCCTCCATGGTCTTGCTCCCCCTACCTCTGCCACCTCCTAATCCCCTACCATCCTGCCCGCGGTCTCCGCTCAGCGGGCTCCAGCCTGCTTCACGTCCCCTGCCTCGCTCTCCCCACTATTGGCAGACATGCTTCTGGCACTCTGCCCCCACCCTCTGGAACTGCATCCCATGGTCCCTCCACCTCGCCCCCTCCCTTACCTCCTTCAAGACCCATCTCAAGACCTTCCTCTTCGACCATGCCTTTGATCAACCTCCTTCTCCTCCCCCCCCCCCCCGCCCTCCACCCTTCCCAATCCCAACTCCCAGCTTAGGTCCGAAACACTGACTATCCAGCATCTTGGGCATCCTCCTGACGTGAAATGCGCTTTACACATATAATTTTGTTGTTGTTTTTGATATAGCGCCTTATCATGTCTTCGAGATGTCTCAAAGCGCTTTCTGGAATATACTCTAAAATGACTTGACTGTATTTTGTGGGAGAGTGACCAAATTATTATTTTTTTGAAGGGATTATTATCCCGGAAAAGAGATCCGCCAATCGACTAACAATCGGGTCCTTACTTACTGCCAGGTAAGCAAAGGTGTGTGGAATAAGGAACCGTGCCTAACATTTTGCCTTGCCCAGGAATCGAACCCAAGTCCTTTCACTTGCGAGTGAGTACTCTAACCACTAAGCTACAGGACTCCACAATCCTGTGAATCCTTTTGATCCAAAGGCGAGAGATAGTACTGCCAACTGAGCCAAGCTGCTTTTACCTCACTAATATGAGTAAATCTCTGACGTTCATCCAGGAAAGCAGGACGTTGGTTTAACATCTCATCCGGATTCAACATTTTAACCTCCACAAATCTTTAGTTTCCTGCTCTATTTCCCCAAGGTTTGTTTTATCTCTTTGAGACAAACTAATATTTCACGCCTCTCACTGCTGTCTCTGGAGCTTGTGATTCTTCCCTCAACCTACTATTTGCAGCATTCCAAACCTAGTCCATCGTTTGAGTGTCCGTGTGTATGTGCGCGCAATTTCATCGAACTCATGATTTCAGTCTATCATGAGTTCTCATGAAACCTGAGATGTTAACCTCTCTCTCTCCTCGGTTTGCTGCTGATTGACATGCTGTGGATGTGCAGTTTTTCTGTTGTCAGATTTCCAGCACCTGCACTTTTTACTCTTTCCTTATCAGCACGATTGTATTTTTGAATTGATTTTCCTGCTGACCTTTTTCCACACATGGATTAGATCTAACGGTTGGCAAGCTGCATATCTTGTTGTTCATACTGTAGCTATCTAAACCAATTCAATTGCCCCCAGCAGCAGAAAAAGAGGGGCATGGAAGGAGGAAATAACACCAAAGCAGTTAAGTAGAGTCCAGTAGCTCAGTGGTTAGAGCACTTGCTTCGCAAGCGAAAAGGACCTGGGTTTGATTCCAGAGCAGGGTGAAACCTTAGGCAAGTCTCCTTACTCCACACACCTCTGTTTACCTAGTAGTAAGTAGGAACCTGGTTGTTATTCAATTGGCAGATCGCTTTTCCAGGCGTAATAATTGCTCCAAAAAAAAATGAAAAAGTATATCTATAATTTGGTCACTCAATCCACGACCGTTTGTGAGACGCTGCTGTGCGTAATTGGCTGTCGCGTTTCGGCCACAAAATATAGTCAATTCACTCGAAAGTATATTCTGTGAAGTGCTTTGAAACGTCTCGAAGACATGATAAGTGCTGTATCAAATGCAAGGATTATTATTATTAATGTTACCTGTGCAAGTGAACTTTTTATGAGGTGATCAGAGAGAGGTCAGCATTGGTGACAGATATGGAAGAGTTTAAAGCTCAAGTAGCCAAAACTGGAGAGGAAGCATGGTGTTGAGGCAGCATTGGTGATGGAGAAGGGTGAGGACTCCTTCACTGCCATCTTATTAGCTTCATAAATAACATGGTGAAGTGTAATGAATGGTGTTGTTTACGTAGGTGATGAAATGCCCACTCATTCTAGGCAGTCATATTTACAGGTGATCAGATAAATCGTTCCAAGACTCTTGAGGGTCCTAACTGAATAGTGGGAGTCCTGTCTGACTATATTTTGTCTCTAACCCTAATAACCTTCCTCCTGCACGCTATCCCTGGGATAGTGAGACCAATTCACAGTTAAAATTGATCTTTCACCTTGTTACTGTTTATGGGACAATGCTGTGCACAAATTGGCTACCACGTTTTGCCTACAAAATACATAATCCAATACAAATTCCTGTAAAGTGTTTTGCCATGTCTTGATGATGTGATATGGCTCTATATCAAATGAAAGGATTATTATATATGCAGTCAAACCTGTGTTCAACAGCCTCATAGGGGACGGGGCTAAAGTTGCCTTTATATAAGGGTTTCTTGGTGTGTGGTTGTTAACGGGGTGGTTCCTGAATGGAGGTGGTTGCTTGAACAGGTTTCATTGTAATTCCAACATCCCTGCCCTGTTAATTACAGAGAGGAAGATTGGATAAGATGTCTTGCTGTGTAGTTGCTCACTTCTATAGCATGTTATGAGCCATAAGAGAGCCCGAACATTTTTATTTATTTGTGGCTTATTTGCTTTGTTGTTCGGGAGCAGTTGGGTGTTGATGCTGTGCTTCTGAAGATGAGCAAGGTCGCTCCGGGGATACTTGAAGGAATGGCAACTAACACCAGTGGGGAGAGTGCCGAGAAACTTGCCGCAAAGCACCAAAACAATGGCAGCCAGTCCAAAGGAGTAGAGTGGACAGTCATTGTCCTCACCTGCCAATACAAGGATAGTGTGTACACCTTCCAAAGAGGTACGTGGGCTGGTGTCTGCAGAGCTTATCATGTAGAGATTACCATGGAGGAGGTTCACATGATAAGTGCCAGTGCCTTGGGATGTCCTCCTGATGCGAAAGGCACTATACAAGTGTAATCTTGTATTGTATTGCATCACCATATTGCCATTTCATTGTATCGCCAACTTGTTTCTTAAAAGTCTCCTGTCCTAACCTTAATACTCCTTTCTGGTTACCGTTCCAACTGTTTATTAAAAGCTCTGCCTGCTGTTGGGAGTTTCAGACTTGAACTCACAATCGTATGTCAGCCTGGCGCAGTGGCAGGATTATTCTTACCTCTGAGTCAGAGGGTTGTGGGTTCAAGTCCAATGTCGGGACTTCAAATCACAAAGTCTAAGCTGACAATCCAATGCACCGCTGGGGTGGTGTTGCATTGTTGGAGATGCTGTCCTTTGGATGAGATATTAAAAAACTGAGATCCCATCTGCCTGTTGGGTGGATGTTAAAGATCCCGCAGCGCTGTTCAATAAAAAGAAGGCGTTACTCTCTCCCGGTGTCCTGGCCAACAAATGAAATTGGTCACTCATTCCATGGCTGTTGATGTAGAACATTGCTATGCACAATTGGTTGTTATGTTTCACTCACAAAATACACAGTCATTCCACTTTATAGTATATCCTCTGAAGCACTTTGAGATGTCTCGACAATGTGAAAGCCGTTATATCAAATGCAAGGTTTATTATTATTATATTCTGACTCAAAGAGTGCTATCAACTGAGCCAAGCTGATACCTGGAACCTGTACTGAACTGTACAGATCAGGAAGGTCTCTGATTCAATCCCTGGTTTGTGTTGAATGATAGAAGCATAGAATTATACAGCAAGAAGGAGGCCATTCGGCCCATTGTGTCCGTGCTGGCTCTTTGAAAGAGCTGTCCAAATTAGTCCCCCGCTCTCTCCCCATATCCCTGTAAATTTGTCCTCCCCAAATGTCTATCTACTTCTCTCTTGAAAGTTGTTATTGAATTGGCTTCCACCACACTTTGCATTCCTGATCCCAACAACTCGCTACGTGAAAAACAATCTCCTCACCTTCCCTCTGTTTCTGTTAACAACTATTTTAAATCGGTGTCCTCGGGTTACAAACCCGTCAGTGGAAACAGTTTCTCCTTGTTCACCCAATCGAAACCCCTCATAATTTTGAACACCTCCATTAAATCTCCCCTTAACCTTCTCTGCTCCAAGGAGAATAATCGTATTTTCTCTCGCCTCTCCTGATAACTGAAGTCCTCCTGGTAAATCTCCTTTGCACCCTCTCCAAGGCCTTCCTAAAGTGTGGTGCTCAGAGCTGACAACAGTACTCTAGCAGAGGCCTAACCAGTGTTTTATAAAGGTTCTGCACATTTTAACAGTCTGTCTATGTCCTCCTGCAGTCTGATTCTATCCTCCTCGCTGTTTACTACTTAGTAGTGGAGTCCTGTAGCTCAGTGGTTAGAGCACTCGCTTTGCAAGCGAGAGACCTGAGTTCAATTCCAGGCAGAGGGCGAAACCTTGGGCAAGTTTCCTTACTCCACACAGAGCCTAATAATAATCCCTCCAAAACCCAAAACAATAATAAATTGGTCATTTTCAATCTACGACTGTTTGTGGGACATTGCTGTGCGCAATTGGCTGCCGCGTTCGCCCACAAATATACAGTCAATTCACTTTACAGTGTGTTCTGTGAAGCGCTTTGGGACGTCCTCCCGACGTGAAAAGCGCTGTATCAAATGCAAGGATTATTATTATTATTATAGTATCATCTGCAAACTTGGAAACTGTACTCTCTAATACCCAAGTGCAGGTCATTTATATAGATGCAAACAGCAGTGGTCCCAATACTGACTGCACTATCTTCATCTACTCTCCGTTACTTCATCAAAAAACTCTTATCAGGTTTGTTAGCATGATTTGCCTTTAACAAATCTGGCTGTACCTTCTGCTTTTGTGAAGACAGATGATAATAATAATAATAATCCTTGCATTTGATATAGTGGTTTTCGCGTCTTCTAGACATCTCAAAGCGCTTCACAGAATATGCTGTAAAGTAAATTGACCGTATATTTATTACCCCTGGAAAAGCGATCCGCCAATCGACTAACAACTAACTAAGATGTCAGACAAGGACAGATTCAGACTTGACTGTAATGTTGTCTTCCTCTTGTTCAGAATGGGATTGTGGCTAAGGAAAAGAATGAACGCGGAGGTTGAGATTATCTCTGGGAATTTTTTTTCTCAATGTAGATTGGAAAACATTGTGTGGAAAAACATTACATATTGTCCTCCCAATGGCAATCACTTATCAATTACAAAACATTACTTGGTTTTGGATTAATAACCAAGTGCGACTGTGACTGCTTCTTGGGGGAGGGCTATTTATAAATAATCCTTGCATTTGATATAGCGCCTTATGATGTCTTTGAGATGTCCCAAAGCACTTCACAAAATATACTGTAAAGTGAATTTGTGGGCGAAACATGGCAGCCAGTTGCATACAGCAGTGTCCCCACAAAGAGTTGTGGATTGAGTGACCATATTATTATTTTTGAATGGATTATTATCCCCAGAAAAGCAATTCGCCAATCGACTAACAACCTGATTCTGACTTACTGGTAGATAAACAGAGGCGTGTGGAGTAAGGAAACTCGCCCAACGTTTCGCCCTGCCGGGAATTGAACACAGGACTCTCACTCGCAAGGCGAGTGCTCTAACCACTGAGCTACAGGACTCCACAATTTATATTGGAATACATTAGAATATACAGCACAGAAACAGGCCATTCGGCCCAACTGGTCTGTGCCGGTCTTTATGCTCCACGTGAGCCTCCTCCTGCCCTTCCTCAACTAAGCCTTCAACTCTATTCCTTTCTCCCTCATGTACCTCTCCAGCTTTCCCTTAAATACATCTATGCTATTTGCCTCAACAACTCCTTGTGGTAGCATGTTCCACATTCCCACCACTCTCTGTGTAAAGAAACTTCTTCTAACTTCCCTATTTGATCTATTTGTGACTTTTTGATATTGATGGCCCTGGTTTTGGACACCCCCACAACTGGTAACATCTTCCCTATGTCGACCCTATCAAAACCTTGATCCCATTTATATGGGTCTGGGTATTTATACATTCAGACATTTCAGATAGCCATACCAGTGAGATCTATTTATGGAATTTCTCTGTGTTTACTTTATGAAATAGATTTCTGATCAGCACTATGCCTCGCAGATTGGAAATGAAGCATAATGAATTTGGGAGATAGAAGTTATTTGTAACCAGATGCCTTCATTTAAGAGGCCAACACAGTCAATGAGTTTCCATGGAAATTAGGTTTCTTGCCATGGTGTTGTCAGTGTGACCATGTGGAAAATATCCTTATTTAATAAGATCTTGCTGTGATTAATTGCAGGAGTAAAGTGGCCTATTTCTGGCATATCCTGAGGCTAAAGTGCTTTGAAATTCCTGTGCACTAAGGTGTCTGAATGCTCCCTGTTCATTGCTATCAATGGCAAGCTACGTGGTTTAGCTGGTTAGATTCCAGCAGTACACAAACACACACTCTGGGGTCTCCAAGCCTTGGCTCTTGCCAACCTGCGCCTAATACTTTCCGGAATTAGATAAGCAGGATGCATCCCTCCAGGGAGAGAATGCTCATTCCATGCCAATAATCTATCTCTGGAATATCCATATTCAGGCAGGATGCATGGAATTCTCAGTTTGATTTGGATACTCTTAAGCATAATGATGGGTTTCCACGTGTTTCAGACACCTGGCTGACTCCCCTCCCCCCCCCCCACACACACCCAAAATAATACATAGGCTTTGTGACGCGAATTGGGCTATTATTACCCCCGGAAAAGCGATCCACCAATCGACTAACAACCGGGTTCCTAGGTAAACAGAGGTGTGTGTGGAGTAAGGAACTTGCCTAACATTTCGTCCAGCAATCAAAACCGGGTCCTCTCGCTCAGTGCATAAGATTGGCCTCAATATTCCTGTCAGTAACACTAAAGCTCCACCTCCACATTCTCTGAATTCTCCCGCATTCCAACCAAATAACTTCATGGAATTATCCAAGGCCAAGCTTTAAACACTGCTGATCCTGGCTATAGAATGTTCTCTCTGGCTCTGGCATCACCTGCTCTATCTTTTGTATGAAGATGTTGAAAGTTCAGTTAGCCATTAGCCACTGAACAAGGTTGGCTCTGAGTATCCTATCGGAAAATTTAGAATTTGTTTCTTAACATGCAAGCAATACTCTGGGCATTTATATGCTTTTATAATAATAATAACTTGTACCCGTTGCAACTACGCTTGCACCCAAAGGATTCAATATAGTATGTAGATTTCAGTGAGACCACTCACAAACCATTTAACATGCCATAAACACTTAAGCAACGTTGTCATGAGTTTGTTTGGGTCATAGCTCATGAACGATAGAAGTTCTTTCAAAGCTACGCTAACCGAAGGGGTTTACTGTGTGATCCGGCAGGTCCTCGATGCAGCCGTCCTATTCTTTGTTCTTCAGTTTCATTTAATCAGCCTTCTTTTGTCTGGCATTTTTGCAGTATAAACCCGGTTTGCGGTCACCTCAGTAATCCACCCTCCTCACAATTGCGGGCACATTTTCACTTTTTCATTGTCAGTGTTAAAAGATAGGCTGTCTGTCTGCTTTAGGGAACCGGGCACTTCACTATTCAGGACAATGGTCATTGTGTGCGGCCCCTACAGCGCCCTTCTCCACTTCAATACCCCCCCACCCACCGCCACTAACCTGTACACAGTGTATTAGGCCTTGGGCTTCTCGTGCTGTTTCCTCGATGCTGCTACTGTGGACAGAGTGGGCTCCGGTCGCGTATGCGCACCGCAGGGAGTGTTGGGATCGTGGAAGTGGAATTGACTTTCCCTGGCGCCCGCAGCCTAACCTGAACTCCCGAGGCCAATTCTTGGTAAGTGTTGTAAACATGCCACCACGGAGGGAGTTGT